TAACTGGCCATCGCCTTCACTGGGGAATAAACAAACATGTTCTTCAAGTAAAACCACAAGGGCAGAACAAAGTAAGGAAAAAGAAAGTTCAAGATTGGGTGACTTAGGGAGGGCTCACCTGCTTGCTAAACCACAGGCCAAAAAAATGTTTTCGAAATGTCTGATGCTGGCTGACAAAGCAGGGCTGACTGGTAACAGAAGCCAACACATCGGAGAGTGAGCAAGATTCAGGACGTTCAAATAATTTGCTCAAGGACAGTAAGCAGAAGGGTCAAGTTTGGAACTCAGGTGGCCCATCCCCTGAGCTCAAGGCCTCACCACTCTGTTCCACTGTACCCCCTCACCCACCCACTCCGGAAGGCTGTGAGATCTGCATCGTCTCATGTGCAGTCCCGAGGCACATGTAGCTTTCTCATTTAAATGAGTTAAAATTAAACTTATCATACCACTTTGAAAAACAGCCTGGCAGTTCCTCAAAGGGTACCTATGGGGCTACCACACGCCCCAGCGACCCCACTGTCAGGCACACATCCAGGGGAAAGGAAAACAGATGTCCACACAAAGCACCTGTGCATGCGCTCACAGCAGCATCATTCATAACAACCCAGAAGTGGAAACAGCCCAAATGACCATCAACTGAGGAACGGATAAATAAATCGTGGTGCATTCCTACAACTGCATGGTGATCGGCCACAAAAAGGGATAAAATACTGATGCATGCAATGATATACTGACCTATGGACATGGATGAACCTCAGACACATTACGCTAAGTGCAAAAAGCCAGTCATAAGGGACCACGGAAGTGTGTGATTCCACTTATACGGAATGTCCAGAACAGGCAAATCCACAGAGACAGAAAGTAGGTCAGAGGTTGTCGGGGGCTGGGGGAGGTAGGGGCGAAACGAGGAGGGACTGCTAATGGCTACGGGGTTTCTTTATGGGATGAATGGAAATGTCCTAAAATTAGACAGTGGTGACAGGCAACAACTCTGTGACTTACTAAAAAGATATTTTATGTACACTTTAAAAGGGTGAAACTTTTGACGTGTTAATTATATCTCAAGAACATTGACATAAAAAACTAAATGTCATTAAAAATGCAGTGCCTCGGTTATCCTAGCCACATTTGCCACATGTGGCTAAGTGGCCACCAAAACGAACGGCACAGACCTGTACAGGTCACTTCAGCATTACAGTGAGTTCTGCTGGACAGCACTGCCCCGCTGCATGGGTAGAAGGCCTCCTTCACCACCCAGCCACAGCCCACCTTCCAGGTCTCCCCACTTGCACACTGGAATGGGCTTCCCCCTTCCTGGTCCACAGACACCATACTTGTCCTGACTCAGAGCCCATCCAAATGCCTCTTCCTTCATGAAACTTTCCCTAAATACCCCCACCCCCAGCTCTAGCAGAATCGGTTGTCCACACTTCTCTTAACAGCGCTGTCCCTCGGGTTACAAATAACTTTGTGTTACCTGTCTTCCAAACAAGGCTACCAGCTCTTTGAGGACAAGGATTCCCAGTGTCTAGCTATAATAAAAGCCTGCTTCAAAGAGGGGACATTTCCGTAGGTGTTTGCCGAATTCTCCTGAAAGGATTTGCAGAAACTCAAGGCATTAATTTTCAACAAGGGCGCACTTTGGTGTGTAACACAGACTAAGAAAACAAGGGAGAGCAAATGTGAATCTGGAAGTCCCCTACTCCACTATTCTACAAGAAGGTGTGTTGGTGATTGCACTGAAACGCCATTCTGAAGAAAGAAGGCCTTCTGGACTAAAAGCCGGGGCAATGGAAGCGACTAAAGGAAGGGGCGGGGGGGCCAAGGGCATACTATTGAGGGATGGGGAAAAAACTGCGGGGACTAGACCACCGCCCCTTCCCACACACGGCAGAAGGGCAAGGTCTACATCTCCAGAGATTTGTGTTGACTCACTTTACGGAAAAAGACTTTTTTTTTTAAACTAAATCTTTATTTTAAATAATACAGTCAGATCTTTCTGGTAAAGTTTAACCAAAAATAGAAAAAAGAAAACAACTCTGTGTATCACAATCATAATTTAACTGGAAGAGACAAATGCCAAGGCCTACTATTTGGAGATCTTCCTGCTTTTTTGTTCTTTATGGATTCAAGGGCTCATATCTGAATCGTGGTGACCTAGAGGAGAGTCAAGTCTGTTCCTCACACAGAAGGGAGCTAAGCTAATGAGCTTCCCTGAGCCAGGATGGCAAGAAATGGCTGTTCAAGTGCAGAGCTAGTAAGACGGAAAGCAAAGCACCTAATATGTATTTCTGATATTGTATGTATTTGAAAAGAACAGGCTGTACTTGACAGAGCCACTTTAAGGGGGAAAATGCAGTGAGGCACCCATACCATTTCCACACGGACTGAGTACAGAGAGTGCTCCTCAGTCCTGAGTTAGCTGGAAGCCAGTTGTTGAAACAAGGACAGGGAGTACCTGAAGCAGGTCTTATGCCAAAATGGTGTCTGAATTTTTTTCTTTATTGCTTTCTACAAGCCAAAAAATCAACAACAAAAAAATCAAACCCCAAACCAAATGGGCTAAATTGTAGTGGCTTCGGAGTTAATAATTATGTAATAGCTTCCATTCCAAAGGTTAAAATTCAAAACACAAATGTCACTACAGATACATACAACAGTGTTCTCCAAAGAAAAAGACAGGGGTACCAGGTAGGGGTGGGAGCGTGGGGGGAGGGGTCAGGAAGAGGGAGACTATCTGTTACAAAAACCTTCCCTTCTCTGCAGGAACTGGAACCGCACCATAGCTGCTGGTCAGTGCGAGCATCCATCCAAACGGAACAAAGTACAAAAGCCACCCTTTCCCCAAAATAAGTACTGGAAGCGCCAGAGAAATGATAAGAGAATGACCTGTGCTCAACAAACTGCAATTAGGGCATGACATTGAAGATCCTCTCCCATAGCTTCTAGCCACCTCCTGGTTTACATAACATGGAAAGGAACCTCCACACGTGCCATCCTTCCTCCCGCTAAAGAAATGGGCGAGGATTTAAAACAGAAGAAAGGGAATGGCTGTTTCCCACCACTGGCTAGGACAACCACTGCTCTCCATCCGGGGGAAGCAGTCCATAGGCCCTGGGCACCCACCTCCAAAGGCCCTATGGTTCTTAAATCAACCCCCTAACAATGTTATTGATTGGTCATCGGGAACGGCCTTAGAGATACAAAAAAAGACAGGTGCAAAGGAAAAAGCAACGGTTTGTTCTATGTTTTGCTCTGTCAGCGTTTATACTTAATTTTACCAGTCCAAAGAGTTGTAACTTTTCTAAAAGACACAAAAAATTTATTTCTCTCTCCTACTTCAATTTTAACTGGGAAAATAAAGAACCCCAACACCTAAAATGGAAGGGTTCAGACCTACAAAACAGAATATACTAGCCCAGAAAATGAGCTCTATTCCTTTCACATGTTATTTCCAACATACACAAATATATTCGAGGGAAAAAACAGGATACTTCATGAGACAAATGAATAAACAAATTGTGGTACGGCCATACAATGGAGAATTATTCAGCCCTAAAAAAGAATAAAGTACTGGTGCATGCTACAACATAAATGAACCTCAAAAATATTATTCTGAAGGGAAAGGAGCCAGACACAAAAGGCCACACTGTAGGATTCATTTATGTGAAATATTCTGAATAGGTAAATCCATACAGACAGAAAGCAGATGGGAGGCTGCCAGGGGCTGGGGGCAGGGAGAAGAGAGCTGGGTGGGGGGTTCCTATCGGGGCGATAAAAATGTTTTGAAATTAGACAGAGTTGGTGGTTGCACAACATTGTGAATATACTAACTATACCACAGAATTTTTTCACTTTATAATGGTTAAATGGCTTGAAATAGTTTATGTGAATTTTATTTCATTTAAAAATTTAAAATGAAAGATAACAATGGGCAAAGCAAAGATGCATACCTATGTGAATAGGCAGCCCATGAACTCCCAGGGAAAAGATAAGTGTTTTTGCTGGGACTCTGCTTCTACTCTTGAGCACAACACAATCAAGTGCTAAATGCTAAGTTCAAGTGCTAAGCTGTATAGACTTTGAAAAGACAGGGACGGGAACAGAAAGCGAAGAAAATAGAATGGTAAAGCCCTGCCAAAGGGGAGGGAAGGAGGGATCACCCCTGGTGCACCCCACCCAACTTGGCACCAAGAGTAACGCTCCCATTACGGTTTCGAAATGCCCGCCTGAGCTGGGATCAACACAAGCCAGCTTCTCTGCCTGGATAAAAAGCAAGCCACCCAGCAAGAAAACCTGGGGTGCTCCATTTGCAGCACCACCATTTGCTCAATAGCCGTAGGCTGGCCCAGATCAGCATCAGGGACTGGATCTCCCAGACCAGCCAGCCTAACTGTGAGAGCTCGTGAGAGCTTCTAAGAGCTTCTAAGACCTGCTCCTGAGGGGTCCCGGTCTAATTCATCCCACCTGCGTCCCAAGAGTCCTGCCTCCCACCACTTAACTCCAACGCCATTAAAAATGGTGCCCTCAGAATTTGCCCTACTCTGGCTTGAAATAAATATCCTCGCAGCCCCTCCCCCTCTCAGGCTAGCTCAGTAGTCACGTACCCCGACCCGCACTGACCTACACGCGGCATCGCTGCCTAGGAGACTTGCTCCACGGTGAATACACCCCACCTGCTCCAGCTTGGCACCGCTATCCAGCCACAGTCACCCCAGCCCACCTGAACTAACTACCGTCTCAAAGGCCCCGCATTCGCTTGGCACCAATCCTCTGCCGCCTTCCTGACACCAAAACAGGTGTCCCCCAGCTGAACACCGGGGGCCCCTTAAGATTCTGCCCACTCTACGCATGGGTGTCCCTCTCGCGACCCCTCAACTCTTGGCAACAACACTCCTTCAGCCTCCTCCAGATATCAGCGAGGCCGTCTCCAGCCCCCTCCAGCCAGGCCTCGACGACCCCCAGACGCCCAGCCTGGCCCGGACGCCCCTCCCCCTTACCTGCGGGGGCTCAGCCCTGGCTGACAGGGGGCTGGGCAGCGCCTGGAGGAGCAGGAGCGCCATGCCACCCAGGAGCCTTCTCCTCTCCATCCCCCTCCTGCTCCTGCTCCTCCGCCACGGCGCCGCCGCCACCCTCTTCCTCCTCCCTCTCCTCCTCTTCCCTCTTCTTCCTTCTTCCCTTCTTTTCCTGTTTCACTCTCCCCCCCCCTCCCGCTTCCGGCTCAGCTCCACCCCAGACAAAACACCCTCCCATACTTTGGAGAGGTCCTCCAGTTCCAGCGCTTCACTAGCCTCTACACTTCTTCTATTGATCGAAATAGCTGTCGATCAAATCGAAGTTCCTCCCCACGAAGACGTAAAACCAGAGCATTCAGCCAATGAAAAGTAGGAGGAAGCTGGGCCATCTTGAGTGCTGCAAAACTGTGTAGATGAGAAGTGTAGCCAAGTAAGTCCGACCAGGGGGCGGGGCCACCTAGAGTGTGTAGTATTGAAAAGTCGAACTCGGATATAGCCATCTTGAGTGTGGCGGAAGTGCTAGATTCCCACGGTTTAGCAAAGAAAGAGAAAGAATATGGTGATTCTAAATGGTGCTGGCAAATTTTTTTGTTGTTTTGTTCTTTTTTTTAGAAGGTAACTGGGCGCTCCTAAAGAACAAAACAACTGCGATCTAAAAATCTTTTGATACCTTTTGTTTTGAAGCACAGCTCCCTCTCCTGGTCTCAAACTGCCGGAACAGTAGCTTAGGGCAACTTGAATTCTCTATGAGATAGTATCTTTACCTGAGGCACAGTGCTTTGTCACCCCAAGTTCCAGGGACAAAATTCTATTGACTCTACCTCAAAAATAGCTCTGAAATCCACCCTAATCGCTTCGATCCATGTTCTCATCTGGCTAAATACAAACGGTCTCCTTTCACACTCCATGGCAGGGATGCTCTACCCCACACGCACACGCTATGTTTCATGGCTTTCCCTCTTAAAATGCTTCAGCTACCTATGGGACACATAGCCCAAACCTCTTCATACCGTCGTCCTCTCTATGTCCTGGTTCCTGCATACTTCTCTTTGTCTCATCTGTCACCCACGCATTCTGCTCACACTGAAATGAACACTTAAGAGATCTTCAATGTACTGTGCTGTATAGTACAATACACTTTATTTATACTCAAACGTACAATTCCCTGTTTACAAACTCCTAGTTCCCACCCCCTTGTTTGTTTTTTTACAGATTCATACACAGCTTCCCCCACACTGTATCTAATATGTATCTGCCTGGCCGACCCCTCCTACTAAATTTGCAGCTTTTTGTCTGGCACACCAAGTCTTACTCATTTTTCAAGAAATCCTGAAAACTGGGCTACTGGACAGGACAAACACTAAACCTTGCACAGCCTGGATTAGCACTTCCCACACCAAGATATTTTAGTGACTCTAACCAACTTTATTTCCACATCCCCCAGGAGCCAACTTAAAGAAAGCAGAGGCCTTACAAAATGCAGTTATGATGCAGTTTGAGTGAACAATTTTAAAAGTGCCTCTGAACTACAGCCACTATATACTCCAGACTTTTTCCAAAAAGCAATTGTCTACAAAGAAGAGAGGAATGCCAGGAGGCTTAAGGAACTGGGAACGAAAGGGAAAAGTTGTTGATTTTTGAAAGAACATCAGTGTGAAACTGCTTCTGAGCTCCGGTAAGATTTTTTTCCTATTTGCCTTTGGAAATAGGCAAAGCTGAAGCCAAATCTCCTATCCTAAGAAAACTAGCTCACAGACACAGACCTTTCTGTTCAGACATCAGCTAAAGTCCAATTGCACACGTTGTAACATGAACTTTGAAAACATGCTAAGTGAAAAAAGCCGGATACAGAAGGCCACATACCATGTGGTTCCATTTACATGAAATATCCAGAATAAGCAAAACCACAGACAGAAAGTAGATTGGGATTATGAGGGGGAGAGCCTGGGGGAAGAGAGGAGTGACTGCACCATTTCTTTTGGGGGTGACGGAAATGTTCTGGGATTAGTGGTGATGGTTGCATAGCTTCGTTGAATATACTACAGATCATTAAATTGTGCACTTTAACAGGATGGATTTATGTGACATGAATTATATCTTAATTTTTAAAAACGGGCAGGTGGGGGGGGAGAATTAAAGTGCAGCCAGTACTTTGACCACAGGGAGGAGGCCTTTTTTCTTTAAAGCAGTTGTCTTTCAAGTGTGGTGTGTAGAGCGACGACCAAAGTGTCCTTCGAGGGATGACTGGATAAAGAAGATATGGTACATATATACAATGGAATACTATTCAGCCCTAAGAAAAGACAAAATATTGCCCTTTTGGTCAATCAACATAGATGGGTCTTGAGAATGTTATGCTAAATGCAATAAATTAGTCAGAAAAAGTCAAGAACCATATAATTCGCTTATACGTGGGATATAAAATTAAAACTTTATGGACTCAGCAATATGGTGGTTGCCAGAGAGAGTGGGGGGTGCTAATATATGATAATGGAAGGTGGTGTGACTTTAAGCGATGGGCACAGTACAATACACAGATTTTGCACCATAGAAGTGTACACTTTAAACTTGCATTATCATATTAACCAATACCACCCAATAAATTTAATTAAAAGAAAAAAGTGTAGCACATAGAATCATTATCATTGGAAAATTACTAGAAATGCACATTCTCAGGCTCTGCCCCAGACCTGCATAACTAGAAATTCTGGGGAAGGGGGCCCTACAATCTGTGTTTTAACAAGCCCTCCAGGTGATCACGATGCATGTTTTTTTAGTTATTACTCCAGAGTAGGGGAAAATTTTCACATAAATGGCCAGAGAGTAAATTATTTTAGGCTTTGCACGCTACATATTCATAAATTGGGTCTCAGTCACATATTGTTTTTTTCCTTTTTACAACCCTTTAAAAATGTAAAAACAATTCTTGCCCTGGACATGTGGCCCAGTTGGTTGGAATGTCATCCTATATTGGTATGCAACTGAGGCAGGAGGTAGTCAGGAAGGAAGCTCCAGAGGCCCGGCAGGGCTGAGGTAGAAAACATCTATACATGACAAAGACCCCCTAAGACTGGTTGTTCCTGTTTTCTGGGATAACTCTGAATCATGGAATGCGCCTGCCTGCGCGCTACCCCTGATTCATTATAATATCATTATAATGAAATAACATTGTGGGACTCCCTTCTCCAGTAGCCAATCAAGAAAGTCATGGGAAACCACACATGCGCAGTAGCTTTGAAATCCAACTCCTTGTACCTGCGCAGGAAAAGCCTGCCAAAGACTAGCTAGTGAGCTTCTGCCCCTATAAGAATAGAATCCCCCAGCCCACGTGTCCCTTTTTCCTCTACTCAGAGCTGGCTCACTCCCGAGTCCTGTGGTGTGTACTATCACTTAATAAACCTCCCCTCTTTCTTTATGCTATAAACTTTGTGTGTTCGGTTCAATTCTTTGTCCTCGATCACTAAGAACCTGGTTACCTGTGCACACCTGTGCACACCTGTGACACAACCAAAAGGTTGCAGGTTCAATCCCCAGTAGGGTCACATACCTAGGTTGAGGATTCAGTCCCCAGCCAAGGTCTGCACAGGAAGCAACCAATTGATGTTTCTCTCTCTCCCTCCTTTCCTCTATCTCTAAAAGCAATACAAAACATATCCTTGGGTGAGGATTTTAAAAAATGTGAAAATCATTCTTAGTTCCCAAGCAAATAAAAACAGGTAGTAGGCAGATTTGGGCCCTCGAGCTACAGTTTGCCAACTCCTGCTCTGTGGAAACACAGCTCCCATTCTGGGAGACCTGGAGCTTCCAGCAAAGACAGGCAGATGTCCCCCTTGTAATAAGGGAAATGAACAAGGGCCTTGGCTTTAGCCATGTAGGTTCCCCTTGCAGTTGTGACGCCCTCCTCCCTGCCAAGGCCCAAGTCCGTCCAGATCCGGCTTTCCATCCAGGCATTATTAACTCAGTCTGCAAACAGTTTATCATACTCTTTCAAGAAATTTATTTGATTCACAGAGGTATCCTTTGAATAGTCAGCAAATTCTACTAGACGTAATTCATACAGACATCGACCCCAGGAATGCCACAGCGGTCCCCCAGGGAGCTTGAGAAATCACCTCCAGCAGCCAAGTTGGGAAGGGCAAGTGGCTGGGCTTTGCTGTGTCCTTTAAGGCTCTTTGGTCTTGGCTGATTTTCTCTTACAGGCATCCAAATAAAACTTCCCATTGCTGGTCAGTACACACCAGTCTTTCTTTGGTGTTTAACCTCATGGGCTGAGGAAGGGAGGCAGCCAGGAAATTATACCCATTACAATGTGTGGTTAATGCTTACATACATCCTTTTTACTCACAGTTAGTGGAATTATCTTTGAAACACAGAAGGAAAATCAGACATGATTTTAGGGCAGGAGAACAAAGTCGGCGCCAATAGACAGGGCTCGAAGCACCATGGAACCCTGCCGCCTCACACGATGACCTTTTTTAGCACTGAGAACTCCCAGGTGCCTGATAAGCTCATGGTTAGCAGCACTCCCAGAGACCTTTCTGACTGGAGCAATGAGGAGAATGGGGAAGAGCGGAGATGAACCCCAAGGTGACACAGACCGGCCCCACACTTCCTGTGCAGCAGGAACCACACAGGTAGAGTGTCCATAGCTTGAGCGAAGGTGATATGGAACAGGGAAAGGGAACGGGAGCTTCTCTTTGTCCCAGGAGCTCTGCCCCAGTCCTGGCTGGAACCAGAATCCCGAAGTTTTCCTAATTTTTCCATTGAGTTTGCTGAGTGTCTCCCTCAGGTCCCAGCAACTCCTCCCTGAGGGGAACTTAGTTCCTGGTCTCCGGGGGGTGGGAGTTAAGGGGGAGCAGGTAGAAGATTTGGTCTTTCTCCCTTTGCTCACTTTTATCCCCTGGAGCCAGTAAACCACATGTCTGAGTAGAAAGAAGCATGAGGTATTCTGGCACCTCCACTCCCCAAATCCACCCTGGCCTCAGGGCCTCTTGGCAAAGAGGAATGAGGGCCCTGGCGGCTAAGGAGGAGCTGGTGAATGTGGGTGGAGGTTGGTCCTTGAGGGGGCGGGGCATTTAGAGGCCCTTATTGAAGTAGACGGAAGGCACGAGTTCTCCGTAGTTGGCCTTGATGGCGTCTCGGAGCTGGGGTTCCAGGTAGGAAGCTGGCAATTCACTGAGAAG